TATCATTTAAGAATAAAAGTTTGCCCTAACTGGTTTGGCTCAGTGGATAGAGCATCAGCCTGTGGACTGAAGGGTCCCAGGTTCGATTCTGGCCAAGGGCATGTACTTTGGTTGCGGACACATCCCAGTAGGGGGTGTGCAGGAGGCAGCTGATCGATGTTTCTAACTCTCTATCCCTCTCCCTTCCTCTCTGTAAAAAACTGAATAAAATATATATTTTTTAAAAGACCCTATAAAAAAAAAGAATAAAAGTTTATCCCTGGCCAGTTTTGCTCAGTGGATAGAGCATCGGCCTGTGAACTGAAGGGTCCCAGGTTCAGTTCTGGCCAAGGGCACATGCCTGGGTTGCAAGCTCGATTCCCAGTACGGAGTGTGCAGAAGGCAGCCAAGCAATGATTCTCTCTCATCATTGGTGTTTCCCTCTCCCTTCCTCTCTGAAATCAATAACGAAATTTTTTTAAAATGAATAAAAGTTTATAAATATAAATAGGAGTTATCAGTTGTGATATTCTTAGGTTTATTTTCTTATCCGTAAAAATGTTCAGTGGTTTCTTCATGTGTCTGGATCCTAAACTGAGTTTATATTAACAGGGACTGTGGAAGCAGTATTGCCGGTAAATATTTTCTAACTTGATTTGATTTAGAGAGGGGTACCAAATTTCAAAATAATAAACCAAAGAGTTTGCAGAATAGCATTTTTAAATTACCTGGCCCAAGTCTTTAATCGGTGTTCAGTAAATAGATATTTGCAATTTAAATATTTTAAAGTGGGCTCTACACCATGTTAGTATGTGTTTTTTTAAAATGGGTGTTCTTTTGGCCAAAAGGAGTAAGCTACTAAGGTCATTGAATCATACTTACCAGCCTTTCTTATAGATAGACTAGAGGCCTGCTGCACGAAATTCATGCACTAGAGGGCGGGGTCCCCAGCCTGGCCTGTGCCCTCTCATAATGCGGGAGCCCCGAGATCAATCTCACCAAAGAGGTAGGCCCTGCCCACCCCCCAGGGCTCCTTGATGGATTGCCCCAAAGAGGTAGGCCGGAGCTGCCCCCTGGAATCCCCACAAGGAGCTGCCATGACTCACCTCCATGCTGTGCACACAGCGTCAAGTCCCCGCCCACCCGTGTGCACACACAGCCTCCTAGTGATGGATTGTTACAGTGTGAGGGCGTGACAACCACATAGGCTTTTATTAGTATAGATATACGGCCTCTCCTTGCCTGCCTGCTTGCCACCTGCCAGTCTCCTGTATGTGTGTGTATGTTCTTACCCTCACCTCAGAGCCTTTCTTCCCCAACCTTTTGATGTTGGTGGAACCACCAGGCTTATTCCTGTCTTAAATGATCTGTCAAGGCAGTGGCATTTGATGTTTCACTCCCCAGGGCAGGCTGTGTTTATATAATCTGCCCCAATCTTATACTGTTTTTATAATCAGAAGGGTCTTCCTTATGTCTAGAGTAAATGGTTCTGGCTGTGTTCAGAGTCCATTTTCTTGTTTTTGTTTCCTTGTAGGGGGTTTTGGTCAGTATCATCTTTAGAAATTTTGTTGCTCTGAACTCCTTTGCCAAAAGGCTTTATCAAACCCCCTTTTCTGCTTGGCACCATACTGAGAAAATCTCCAGCTTCCTCAAATCCTTTTAGAAAGTAAGTCAAAACTAAATAATAAATGAATCAAAAAGACAACATGAGAGTGATTCCCAGCTCTGTTTTTGTGACATTTCACAGGATTGCTAGAAGTCTCAAGGGATTTTATAAAGGCTCCAAATTAATTTGGATTTTTTTTTACCTTGTGTATGCCATATAACACTCCCAATGAGCAGTAGAGTGAAGGATCACATGAAATCACACCGGGCTGCTGGATCTTTAACCCCTTCCCCGGCAGAAACGTGTATACTCGTTTTCACAAAATGTTCTTTTTCAGTCGTCGACGAGTATACTAAGAAAATATGGTAAAAAAATATGGTTTATAGGAAGACGAGTTACAAACTGTTTTCATAACCAGCATCAAAAATACTATATAGAACCAAAATAAAAAAATTAGTCTGAAAAAGAAACGTTTTTAACAAAAAAATTGTTGGGGAAGGGGTTAAACAGGCTCTCTAGGAAAATGGAAACCTCTTGCCTCACAGCTTTTAAAAATTTCTCAATATTAAATAATCCAGATAGTTTCATCTTTGTCAGTTTTATTTTTCACACTTTCAAAAGAAAAGGAAACATTTAATTTTGGATATTCTTTCTGTATCTTACTATTTTTCATGGAAGTACAAGCTAAAGGTAATTAATTACATGTCCTGTCACACTTCCTAACTCTTCAGTGATTTGCCTGTGCAGCATGGGACAGCTGTTAACGCCGGGTTATATGGTGGGTGTTCAATAATTAGTTTGCCCTTATCTTGAGAAAAGCCATTTATAATACAGCATGCCATTATTATTTGCCATAGTAAAGTAGTACTGTATTGCCAGTTCCCTAAATCCTCTGTGATATAGTTAATCAAGGGAAATTATTTCAGGTGAATTGTTGACAGAATATATTGGGCCTTCCAGTGTAACTTCTCTTGGAAGAATACTCAGCTTTGGTTTGGAGACAATGTCCTCCGCAGTTTTAGTTATCTGGCGAACTTGTCTGTCTGTCCTCACTGGTGACAGTGACAGGCTTAGTGGCAGGTCTTTGGGCCTCCTTGCCAGTTGCATGCACTGAGCAGTTGATATGTTGGCAGACAGAACTGATCCTTGGATGCTTGTCTGAACCTCTACAGGCCTGCTTTTGGCAGAATCGAGTGTGACTGTTATCCTTTACCCATTAAGCTATCATTATGGCTTCCTTATCTTTATTTCTTCAGCAAACATGCCTTTGAAAGTGGTTGGCTCTTTCTGGCAGTTTACTTGATAATGTACAAGAGCGGAAGGCATGTGTCTTATTTCTAAATTACAGTGTATTTCTTCAAAGGAAAAGGGTAGACCTAAGTGAAGATTTGTCATAAGTTGACAGCTCTGATAGATTTATTTTGATTATTAATATGGAATTCTTTCCTAAGATTTTGGTTTACAGTCTCCTATGAAAACATTTAAATGCCTCTGCTTAGCTAAAAAAAAAAAAAAAAAACACAAAAAACGAGTTCCTCTTTGAGCCTGATGTATTGCATACCATCAACTTTTTCTCATCACTATCAATTGTATGGATGTGTGCATTATAGGAAAACTGGAATCATTTGTAGTTTGGATGTTCTTTAGCCAAGGTTGGAGGAGACATATTTAAAGAAAGGTAGGTGCCTGTGATTGCCATATATGGAGTCTTTTCAAAGCCCAATCTGATTTACTCTATGTTGGAGCAGTCTTAGCTGCTAAGAACATAGATAATACTTAATAATTATCTCCGCTGTGACAAGGCTGTTTCTGTGCTCCTCTATTGGGATGTCAAAGCTAAATTTAATCTATTGACTTACATCATGTAAAATATTTCAAAATTACTTATTATTCATTGGATGTGATTCTGTTTGAAGCGTCAGTAGTGTTTTAAAGTTCTGTGAACAGAAGGACTATGAAAGTAGGGTCCAAACAGCAGCCTCAGCTGCCTCATGGTAGCATGCAGTCACCTGCAGGACACATAGCCAGACATGGGGTCAGACAGTTTAGGACAGTTTTAGTGTAACCGTGGCTTCCCTGCGAAAGAAGCCTCCTTGTGAACAGGGTAGGGAAAAAATTCCTGTTTGTGCTCTTGATTCGTTAAAATGATGCCATTCACTCACTCTGTATATCAGTAATGTTTTAGTTCACTCTACAGTGACAATACAAAAATCCAAGTAAATTTTTATTTTCATTAAAAAGGGAATTTTAAAAGTTGTGATCGGCCATGAAGTCTTATAGAGAAATATAATTACCTTAATCCAGGGTAAAACAAAATTCACTATTAAAATAGCTTTATTAATGGTGGCTTTCTAAATTGTAGTATCTAACTTACTCAATTATTTATATTTCTTTTATGTGTTGCTTTAATCTTCCAGCATAATTGAAGCTCATTACTGTTTTAATTCTATAAAAAATTGTTATTTAAACTAATGAGGTAGTAGCTGTGTAGCTGCGTGACTACTGGTCTAGGACTGAGAAAACCTGAATTCTAGTTCTGAGACTATTTTTCTTTGATTTTATTAATGAGTCATTTAGTCCTTCCGTGAGCCTGTTTTCCATCAATAAAAGTGCATAATGAGACTTCTGATACAAAGAAAATTGCATAGAATTGTTCCCCTTTGCTTTTCCTTGTAATGTATAAAGTTCAGAAATAACACAAGAGACAGTCAGAACTCTGAAAGGTGGAAAAAAGAAGTCTATCTGGTGTAGGACCTAAAACGGACAGAAGCAGCGGCAGGGTGCCTTACACCCTCCCACCCGACAGAAGAAGGGGACATTTAGTCTATATTTTCAGTTGCAAAGACAAAGGTTTTAGTGTTCAATTAGCTGGTAAACTTGGTTTTCAATAATTAAGACCTTTTTTTATTTGTAATACATCTTGTCAATATTGATTCTTTGGCACTTTTTTCTTGATAATACATAAAATAATAGTTCATCTTACAATTAATGGCATTTTAGGCGCAATGGGATCTGATAATAATATCTAAAGCCAACTATTTTTCAGGGTTTTTTTCTTGATTAATTTTAGAGAGAGAGAGAGGAAGGGTGGAGAGAGAGAGAGAGAGAGAGAGAAACATCAATTTGTTGTTCCCTTTATTTTTGCATTTATTGGTTGCTTCTTGTATGTGCCCTGACCAGGGATCAAACCTGAAACCTTGGCATATTGGGACAATACTCAAACCAACTGAGCTACTCAGCAGGTTTTGCACTTTTCATCTGAATATTTATTTTCTAGTTTTATTAAACATTTAGAGGAACCTTTAACAATTTGAGAGTCTGATGATAAATGCTGTGGCATTCCATGATAATACTGTGTTACTTACATATATGTTGAAACCTCATTTCCTCTTACTTTTTTTCTTTGTTTTTCAAGTGTCAATATACAGTATCTGGTTTTATGACAAGAATGACTGTCACCGCATAGCCAAACTCATGTCTGAGTAAGTATATTACTCTACACATTTATTTATTAATGACATATGAGAGATGAAAAATTACTTTTCTTCCTACTTCTCTTTGTTACTAGAGTATAATAATCTCCCTCTGATTTCTTCTAATTATGTATTTTTCTCTAATTTCCTGTTTATTCTCAAAAATTTGGAAAAGACAGAAAAGTCTAAAGAAATCTATAATCCTATATAATAAAAGCCCATTATGCAAATTGACTGAACAGTGGAATGACCTGTGGAATGACCAGTTGCTATGATGTGCACTGACCACCAGAGGGCAGACGCTCAACGCAGGAGCTGCCCACAGGCCCCAGGCCAGCCAAGGCGGTGCCAGCGGGGAGGGGCCCTCCCCACTCCCTGCGATCACCCCAGCTGTTGCCCCACAAATCGGCCCTGATTGTTAGTCAGGCCTAGGGACCCTACCTATACAAGAATTTTGTGCACTGGGCCTCTAGTCTTTTATAATCCTACTACTACACTCAGTGTGTGTGTTGTCCTGTTAGTTTACTTGATAATGTACAAGATAATGTAGAAAGTTCCAAAAACTTTCCTTTTGCCTTTTTCTTTACATATATGTGATGTTGATGTCCTTGATTGTTTCTTACAAAAATAGGATCATACTGTATGTACAGCCTAGTTTCATGTCAACAGCATTTTTCAAAGCATTAAATAGCCCTGTATAGTGTCCTGCATATAGATTGTAATTTAACCAGAACCTTCTATGTGCAGTGCCCAGTCTAACCTCCATATCCAATGTAGATTCTATCCAGATTTTCACTATAACAAGTGGGACTGTGTTCAGTAGCTGAAGGAGAACTCCTGCACACATCCATGTTTACCTTTTTGAGTGAAATTATTTTTGACCCAGATTCTAGGTTACTAAATCACCAGTCCATTACTGTATTGTGTTCTAAGAGATTTTTTTTCTAAGAACGAAATTTGGAATTTGGAAAACCATTTTCATTGAATTACTATTCTAAAGGGTGGTTCAATGTCCTTTCTCAAAAGAGCCAGCAGAAGCCACCCTGCGTGGCTTATCTGTATTGCTGGTACTGCCAGTCTGGAGTTTAGGTGCCCAAGACACTGTGGTACTCAAGGGGCCTGAGAGCTCTGGGCAAAATGCACAGTGGGCACACTTATTCTGGGGCACTTCTGGTTCCTTTTCAGTGTTCCTTCTCAGAAATGTTGACCTCTCTTCCCCGTGTGTCAAGTCAAGATTCCTTTGTTATCAACGTGTTTAGAAGAAAGCAGTCTTGATTGTTGAAAATAATCTTATTTTAAAACTAATTCTTATAAAAATATAAATAAATAATTAACTCAAAAACCTCACTTCCAGGTATGTTTGCATTTTAAAAGAAGCACCTGAGGCTAAGGAGTCCCAGTTGGATGTTGATCAGCTGTGCTTTTGCGGCATTGGCTGTAGCCACAGGGCAGGCCATGCATGTCTAATGGTGTGCACCCCCTGAGGATTGTTCCATATAAACCTGTGTCACTCATATTTGAACACGTGTTGGCTCTCTAGAAGCAAACTTTCTTTAGAGCATATTTTCTCTTAAAAAGATAATGCAAAGCCATTTATTTGATGAAATTTTTTGTAGTTTTGAAAGTAACAGCAAAGGCAGCTTCTGTTTACTTAGAAGACACAGATTTGTTGATTTTTTTTTTTTGTTATCCTGAAATCCAGAATATATTTTAAATACCTAAACTTTGGAATATATTACTACAGTTAACCTTGAACTACACAGAATTGAACTTTGTGGGTCCATTTAGTCTTGTATTTTTTTCAATAAATACAGTACTATAAGTGTATTTTCTCTTCCTTACGATCTTTTAAAGTAACATTTTCTTTTATATGTTAATCAACTATTTATGTTACCCGTCAGGCTCCCAGTCGACAGTAGGCTGTTAGTAAAGTTTTGGGGGGAGTCAAAGCTGTACGCAGGTTTCAGCTGTGCAGGGAATCCGTGCCCCCTTACCCATACTTTGTCCATACACTGTATGTACGTACACTTTCTCCTGCAGATTGAGAGCTTTTGGGACCTGAGTGAGAGAATCCACCTTTTTTAGCTCTAACAGCCATTCACAGGAAACCTTTCTGAGCTTTCCTTTCTCTGTCAACTAGTACCCCTAACGTGAAACTTCAGATAGTAGATGAAGCTAAAGACTGAAGGCCTATCTGGAAATAATGGTATTGAATCTAAAAATAAAACGAGGAAGTAGAAACAGGAAGCAGAGAGGGAAAAGAAGAGCAGTCACTAGAATGCCTCCAAAAAGAGACATTTGCTTAACTCAGCTTGTTTTACTTGAAGTGGAGAGGTATGGAAAGTGATTAGACAATGCCCTTGTGAAACTGTTGATAGGGAGTTTTCAAGAGCCTGGCCTGTTTATGTCTGAAGCGAATACCTTATATGTTAACATTAACTTTGTGATAAATGGCATTCTGGACACCAGAGATAAAAAAGACTACTTTATCTTTCTTTGCTCTAACTGCCTGTGTGCAACTTCAATTTGCTACATATTTCTAAATGTCACATCTGCTAACCAGAAATTCAGGTAAAATTCTTCTTGGCATATTATGTGTCTAAATAAATATGCCTGTCAGTGTCCATTCTGTCAAATTTAGATCTTCCCATCACTGTTTTGATAGCTGCAATAGAGTAAAAATTCCCCAAGTAAAGAATTGATTTATTCCTAAAGTTGTTTATAAAAACTGAGAAGCTGTTTAGGGAGAGTGAGCAAATTTCTAGACCTGTACTATATCTACATTTGGAAATTCTCTTTGGTCAGTGGCAAAGTTAAAAATCCACTAAACTTGAAAAACATTGATCCTCCTAAAGAGGAAATCCAGCCTTCCAGAAACTATTTAATAATAAAACTTGTTTTAGAGTTTGCCTACATAGACTATAAAATTTGGAGAACTCAGGGAAGTCAGCTTTATTTCTGACCTTACAGATAGTCTTAGGGGCACAGTTGAGAATTTGTGAGGAAAGGAGAGAAGCAAAGTCCTTCTTCACAGAGTTAGAAAGGAAAAGGCCTTAGAGTCTAAGCCTCATTTGAGGGTCCCTTCCATACCATCCAGCAGCTCTGCTTTCAGTGGTGGTGAGCTTTGTAACCAAGGTGGCCAGTGGGTTGTTAGAAATGTCTTCTTTTGAACCAAAAGCACAGATCCAGTCTAGATCAGGGGAGAGGTGAATTCAAGCATGGGCAAGCCAGGCAGCATGGCGGCGGGTGGTAGAAACGGACTGTATAACCAGAGTCCTTGGTGAAGGTAGATTCAGGCTGGGGGTGGCCTATAATTGAGGATAAAATAATCTTTTTACTGAGTATTAAAGGAGTGCCTGTTAATTATCAAGAATGAAAAAAAGTACAAGCAAAGTGAAATTGCTTGTAAGCCACCATCAAGAAATAATCAATGTATACCTCGCCAGTCTTTTGCTACTGGCCTCACAGTTAAGACAGTACAGTATTTCTTTGCCAAGAGATGATTACCAATATGGCTATCATATTCTAATTGGTCTGATCCTCATATCACCTGCCAGTCTTTTTTCAGTCTACCATAAAGTCCATGGTTCTACCTTTGTTTTAGAAATAATAATCCTATTGATGACATTATCACCTTAAACCACCCTTTTTTATTTTTATTTTTTTTTAATTCTTTTTTTTTTAAAATATACTTTATTGATTTTTTACAGAGAGGAAGAGGGAGAGATAGAGAGTTAGAAACATCGATCCAGCTGCCTCCTGCACATCTACTGGGGATGTGCCCGCAACCCAGTTACATGCCCTTGACCGGAATCGAACCTGGGACCTTTCAGTTCGCAGGCCAACGCTCTAGCCGCTGAGCCAAACCGGTTTCGGCAAACCACCCTTTTTTAAATAGGAATCCTGCCTCAGGAGAAGATTCTGTGGTCAAATACATTTGAAAAATGTATAAGCCCACCCTTTTTAGAGAATAATAACACATTTTAGCATATTAAAAACTCAGAATGATTCTGCTATTTAAAAAAAAATCTGTTTAATATTGTTTAACCCAATGTTTTCCAGGAAAAAAAAAAGAACCATCTCACACTGGAGTTCCTGATGGACTGTTTTAAAGTAGGGAACTGACACAGTGGCCTATTCTTCTCCTATTCCTCTTAGTCCATCAAAAAGCCTTTTGCTACTGAATTGTTTTATTGCCTGTCATCACTGTCAGGTAATACAGTTATCAAGTTGTGACTGTGCCCATAATATCCCTTGGCAGGTAGGCCTATTCATTACAGTTGGGAATGAACCTGAGTCAACCTTGAAAGGTACAAAAAAAGATTGGTTGCCTTGTTGAAATTTATTATTATTATTATTATTCCAAGCTTGAAGGAAAATATAAGAAACAATAAAAAATCCTTGTGCTCACTTACATATCTTTCAGTTCCTGGCATTTTGCTATAATTGCTTCAGACCTTTATGTGGGGGGAGTGGGGAGAGGATATTCCTAAGAAATGAAACCCCACAGATGACTATAAAGGCCACAACCCTATAAGTGATATTCTTGACTCCCAGTTTCTTGCTTTATGTATTTTCAAGTACAGAATTAGCGTAAGCAGCACCAACCAAAATAAAGAGCATGCCGCAGTCACATCACCTCAGTTACCCACTTAGTGATTTTTAAGGAGAGAAAAGGGGTAACCTTATGTTTGCTTGTAGTGCTATCATTTGCTTTTGAAGATTCACCAAGACCTTTATTTTCAAGAAACTCATCTTTCTCCTGTCTTGTGTCTTTTTTATTATTAGAGCCAAAGAATCTTGAGGGTAGAGGAAAGTTCCTCCCACACACCTTCATACTTTTATGTTTTGGAGTTAAAAATTTTGTTTGTGCAAATAGGGAAGCAAAATTTGCCACTGCAAAATGTATTACTTTGGCATAACTGTTTTAAGGAACAATAGACTCAGAAAGAAGCTTTGGCCTTCCCACAAATTGACTAAAAGAATTTAAGATAGAAGGCCTGTTCGGAAAGAACTATCACCATAGATAACCACAGTATATGAACTGGCTGGGGCAGACAGGGAGGAAACCTACCTAGCAAGGCCCATTTGATCGAAGTCCTTCTTGGGACCCATTGTCTCTAGAGGGCACAGTAATATTTGTTTACTAAACTTTAACTCTGATTTCCCTGTGAATTGCCTTACTTCCCTTTGAAGTCCCAGACCCTTACCTCCTTCTTATTAGCCCACATGACCTGTATACCCATTTTGCCTACTGTCTTTAGAACTTGTCATGCTTATGTGAATTCCCCATGCATATGCATTAAGTCTGATTTCCTCCTGTTAATCTGAGTTGATGTAAGAAATATCCAAACCTGTGGAGAATATGTATAAGAGTTTGTTTGAACCAGACGGACAGTATATGCCAGAGAACAAGATCTCAAGTCCTCTGCATAGCATTTTAATGTACCTATTTCTAACAACTCTGGTATGGAATTCTGTATTTTTGTCCTTCTCACAGTGAAATATATTGGTTGGCAATGCTGTACCGTAAATAAAATGATGAATTGGTTAGTCAGATATTTCAGGGTGATGTAACCAAGGCTCGGTGTTTTCTATTGTGAGGACATTGTGATCGTGACATTTTTCCTGTATTCTTGGAAAATGAACACCAGAAGAGTCCTTGGGTCAAATTGTGTTTTAACAGGTGTTGCTAAAACCTGGTTCTCCTCTTCTAGGGTGGTAGAAGAGGAGACACGGCGCTCCCAGCAAGCTGCGCGGGATAAGCAGAGTCCTAGCCAGGCCAACGGTTGCAGTGAGCACAGGCCCATCGACATCCTGGAGATGCTCAGCCGAGCCAAGGATGAGTATGAGAGGGTGAGGCTGCACGCCCCTGGGCGGACCAAAGGGGAGGAGACTTGCAGGGGACTCATGGACTGGGGAAGTCACCTCCAGGGCCAGCAGAAATAATTAATTCAAAAAGAAAACCTGTCTTTTAGTTTTAAGCCTAAGAGATAATAAATTTGCTTACCTTACAGTCTTTGACTTGGCATGAAAGTTGAGAAATTTTTCCCCCCTGTTCCTGTAAAACTACTATAGGAGAAAGTGGTTGTGGAATGCAGAAGTTAGCTGCAACAGGTAGTTCTGGGAAAGCTTCATGCCTTGTCTTCACCTCTGCAGTCTCTGCTAGGTCTTAGGAATTTATGTTTATTTACAGTCTGTTATTGGTAGTAAGTGCACCGCCTTCATTAAGCATCATTTGGAATTTTACCCAAATGAAAGGCTTTTCTAGAATTTATTTTTTTCTTTCTGTTTTGTATTTTAGTTTAAAAGTTAATTGATAACATTTTTTCCCCAAAGTTGAATGAAGTAGAAGCTGTAGGCATTCGCTAGTTTATTCAGTACATATTTATGAGCTGTCCATGGTGTAGCAAGCAGTAGGCATTTCCTCCATGGTCATCAGACCTTGTAGCTTTGGAACTTTCTTGGCATTTCACTTGATATCAGCATTTAAAAGCCCCACACTTTATTGGAGTGATACTAAAGGCTTCCACTTTGTTTCAGCAGAATTATAATTGTCACCGTACTCTACTGACATTGAGTTAAGTTCTTTTCCTCATTTCTTGTTTAATCCTCACCAAAAGATCAAGGAACAAAGTGTAAAAAGCAATCACTAAAACTGTATTTCCCAGTTCTACTCTAACACTGGCCTCTACGTCTTAAGAGGCATTCCTTGAGAAGAGGTTCCAGTTGGTCCAGTGAGTTTAAAACATTGTTAGGTCCTACTCGGTTGGGCTCAGTGCAAAGAGTGGAGGCCTACAGATTGAAGGGTCCCAGGTTCGATTCCAGTCAAGGGCATGTACCTTGGTTGCAGGCACATCCCCAGTAGGGAGTGTGCAGGAGGCAGCTGATCGAAGTATCTCTCTCATCGATGTTTCTATCTCTCCCTCTCCCTTCCTCTCTGTAAAAAATCAATAAAATATATATTTAAAACAAAAACAAAAACAACATTGTTAGCATGGCTCCTCTTTCCCCATCTTTATAGGGCGCTAAGTGCTCAAGACTTTGAGAGGTCCCTGCAGTAAAAAAGGAGTAACACCAGTTTCTAAGTTGATTTGACTATAGCACCATTTTTCACATACTACCCTTTAAGAATCTAGAGTTCAAGGAACAGTGCTCTGGAAGGTAGTTTTCACCATAAACTACAATAAACCTATATTCAAACACCAAAGGAAGTCCCGCTTCCTGGGTAGAGAAGTATACATTTGGGCCCATGAGAAGTTTCCAGTTGTACCAAACTCCCCAATGTCTCATAGAGAATTAGGAAGAACCTATAGATCTGTGAAGATTAATATAGGAAAAGCAGTCTTCTCTATAATGAATTCACTGATTCTTAGGAAACTAGATAGAGAATAAATTTCAAGAACCATTTTCTGAACTTTTAAGCTACCTTATAGTCTCCAAATTTCCTTTCATATCCTTAATGAGGGCTGTGTTATCTACATAGATGTCTTGCTCTGTTTTTATAGAGGGCTTTTAAGGATGTGGGGAGAACAGTAATTACTGTTATAAGAAAATTCTTCCATGGTATAAAATAAATAAAATTTGTCTATGGTTAGATTAAAACAAAACTAAATCTTTGGGTATTTAGTTAAAACTTTGAGAATCGAACCTGGGACCTTTCAGTCCACAGGCTGATGCTCTATCCACTGAGCCAAACCGGTTTTGGCTTTACTTTTTAATATATTCTGTTTTTTAAAACAGCCGGCAAATAGGTAGAACTTCCATAAATGACAATTTTGTTTCTTGTCTGTATTTGGCCTGTCATCTAACCAAATGGAATTGGTGTTAGCAGTGACCTCTGAATTCATATCTTAGTGTTTGGATGGGTTCCCCTCAGCTGCCACATGGTTCCAGATGGCCCCTTTGTTTATCTTTAAGGAGAGACTTGGGAGATTGACAGAGGCAAGGGCAGGGGTGCAAGCTAGGCCTCGGTGATGGGATTTAATCCCAATTGTAAATCTCCCCTGTCCAGTGTATATAATACAGTGAATGAAATTCCAGACTTTTTAGTGAGGTATTTATAATAGAGACTCTGGACAAACTCTTTATAATAAACATTTTCTCCCCAAGTTCTATAGTTAATTTTAACCAACTTTTCTATTTTTAATGTAAAGAAAGATAGCTGAAACCACAGTCCTTACAGTTGGCCCAGTCTGGGTTGCTCCTAGTCTGGATTTGTAATCATGCATTTTGGCAGAGGTTATTGGTTTATTTTATTTTAATTCGAATGCAAATGTTTTTAAATCCAAACTTTTTTGTTCTTAAAAAAATAGGAGCACCATTATTTTTCTTGTTATTAGCAGTACACATTAATTACAGAAACTTTATATTTACAAGTTACAATAAAAAAAATTATAATTCTATCATTTAGAAGTAACCACTGCTAATGCCTTATGTACCCTTCCAGAAATATATATAAATATATCCCAGTGTGTGTGGTATATTTGTGTATTCTACCTTTATTAATTAGTTTTAAAAGTAGTTTTTATATATATACTTGAGGCCTGGTGCACGAAATTTGTGCCTAGGTAGGGTCCCTAGGCCTGGCTGGCAATCAGGACCAATCTGTAGGGCAACCAGCAGTGTGATGTGAGGGGCTCCTACTAGCACCCACCTTGGATGTCCTGGAGCCTGCGGGCTGGGGCAGCTCCTGCATTGAGCATCTGCCCCTTGGTGGTCAGTGTATGTCATAGCGACCGGTCGTTCTGCCAGTCATTCTGTTTGGTCATTTGCATATTAGGCTACATACACACACACACACACACACACACTTTTTTTTTTTTCTTCAGAGAGGAAGGAGGGGGAGAGAGAGATAGAAACATCAATGATGAGAAAAAAATCATTGATCGGCTGCTTCCTACATGCCCTGCACTGGGGGATCGAGCCCACAACCTTGGCCTGTGCTCTGACCAGGAATCAAGCTGTGACCTCCTCGTTCATAGGTTGACACTCACCCACTGAGCCACGCCTGCCAGATAGAACAATATATTTTTATGATAGTAATTACATAGGGAGTCCCTATGAGATTTCATTTGATAAAATGAAAACTTAAAAAAAAAAGAATTGTGATGTTAATAGCTGTGTATTTTTCCTTTTGTGTCTTATATGAACAACACCCTAGATTTTTCTGATTCTTTCTATTAAGAATTCAGAATACATCCTTTTAGCTAAGTATTCATGTACAGCATTTTCTTTCAAAATAAGTTACTCGAAATGGAATTGGTAGATCAACAGATTTTTTTGTTGTTGTTAGTCTTCACTGGAGGATATTTTTCCATTGATTTTTTTAGAGAATGGAAAGGATGTGGGGGGAGACAGAGAGAGAGAAGCATCAATGTGAGAGAGACACATCGATCGGTTGCCTCCCACATGGGCAACCCAGGTGTGTGCCCTTGACTGGAATCAAACCTGCAACCCTTCAGTCCGTAGACTGACACTATCCACTGAGCAAAACCGGCTAGGGCAGATCAAAGGACTTTGACATTTTTAAAGATATTTATCAAATATTATAAAATTTCCCTCAAGAAAGTTTGTCTATGATTATTCGTCCCTCCCCCCAGTCCTTTAAACACTGAAAACTGTCATTAACAAAAACTCAGAATAAACCTTTCAAGAATGGCCCTTGCACACATAGGAAAAAATATGTTAAGTCCTGGAGACCTTTTAAAATACAGCCCATCTCGTAGCTCAAGTTAAGTTTCAAGTATTGCAGACTCAAATGTCCCTAAAACCATGTGGGCCATAGGAGTGCCTGCTATGGCCAGGGTGGATCTGATATAGGGAGCCTGTTGCTATGTCACAGAGTCAGTTGCAGCTCACCTCTAGGCAATTGTTGCCAAATTATCCAGCTTCTCTCTGAAAATGACAGGCTGGGATAAAACCTCTCATTTTTAACTCAGCCGGTGTGGCTCAGTGGTTGAGCATTGATCTATAAATCAAGAGGTCAAGGTTCGATTCCTGGTCGGGGCACATGCCCAAGTTGTGGGCTCAATCCCCAGTAGGGGGTGTATAGGAGGCAGCCGATTGATGTTTCTCTCTCATCATTGATGTTTCTATCTCTGCCTCCCCTTCCTCTCTCTGAAATCAATAAAAATATATTTGTTTTTTTAAAAAGCTCCCCATTTAAAAAATGTTCCAGAACATTTTATACAGCTGTTTTAAGAACTTGTTATGAGCAGTGTTTTGAGTTTATGTTTTATCTAATACAGTACAATTCCACACATTTTTCATAGTGTGGTGATACAGATTGATGGTGATGTTGCACAAAGAAATATTTTAGAAGATATTTCATAGGCTTTCACAGACAACTTCATCTCTATTTAAGTGGGTAACACTGCATAAATGGTGTTCTGAAATAATATAATGGTTAAGGCAGTTGAATAGAAAAATGCGTATCATTCATTCAACATTGGAGTATCTACTTATATGCTAAGCACATATATTTATAGTATGGCATCAAGAAAAATTCATCTTTCTCTGGAATTTGAAGTTTAAGGCTTTTCTTTTTATCTTGAGTGTCCTGAACTGTTTTTGGTACTCATTTTGACCTAGATAATGCTCATCAGATGCAGATCAGATAATCCAAATAGAACTTAAGTTTCTAAAAATTCGTAATTCCATCTCCATCTCTTTTTTTAGTATTCTCTTTCAAAACAAAAATATTTTCACTTTTAGTGTTACATACAAGTTAACAAGAATTTATAATACTTTATGACTTTTGTCATCTGTAATTGTGATGTGTAGAGACCTAAAATGTAGTTTAATTTTTAAGAGTATTTGATGATTTCAATAAATGATTGAAAACAATTAGCCATCCATATGCAAAAAAAACACACCAAAAACCCTAACCTAAATGTAATACCAATAACAAAAATAAACTGAAAATGGATTATAGATCTAAAATGTAAAACATAAATTAAAAATTTAGAAGAAAGATATATTTACTGTGTGACCCAGGTACCACTCCTGTGTATTTACTCTTGAGAAATGAAGCTTTTGTCCACACAAAACCTGTGAAGTTTCATGGACGCTGCATTCATAAGCACCAAAAACTGGAAACAACACACATGTCCTCCTATGGGTGAATAGTTATAAACAAACTGCAGTGTAGACATACAGTGGAATACTGCTCCGCAATGGGAAGGAGTGATCATTAATACGCACAGCAGCTTGAATGAATCCTCAGAGGCGTTATAGTAAGAGAAAGAAGCCAGTATTCCGTCATTATCAGAAAGACGAAACTAGAGTGATGGAGAACAGATCACTAACTTCTAAGAATGCAGGAAGGGCATGCCTACAGTGAGACAGCACACGGGCGTTTTTTTGAGGTGAGAGAGCTATTTTATATCCTGATGATAGTGATCGATGCTCAGAACTATATACCCCAAGAAGGTTAATTTTACCATATATTAAAAATGAAGCAAAAAAAGACCTTTTCTTTCTTTTGTACCTATGTGAGAAGATGGGTGTTAGCTAAATCTGTTATGGTAATCACTTCACATTATGTGTAAATCAAGCCATCATGTTGTATGCCTTAAAACTTATACAATGATGTATGTCAATTATTCCTCAGTAAAATTGGAGGAAATGTTTTTTAATGGAAAATAGTATGTGATGAAATAATGCCATTGGTTTTTCCTTAAAAGGGTTATAAAAATAATAATTGTTGCTAACCTTATTGTCTAAAATGAAGCTCTCAACTTGCTAGAAATTTTATTGTATAAGTTACATGAGAATCCAAAGAAAAACATTTGTTTGGTTTTTTGGTTGGGGGGTTTTTTTGCTTGTTTTTTAAAATAGCACTTCTGATAACCTCAATTGCTATTGTGTGAGCCAAATAATAGCAAACTTTTTCACATGATATACTTTTCCTTTTAATTTAAGAATCAAATGGGCGACTCGAATATCTCCAGTCCTGGGCTACAGCCAAGCACTCAGCTCTCCAATCTGGGAAGCACCGAGACTCTAGAAGAGACGCCATCCGGGTTACAAGATAAGGTGTGTACAGCTAAAGCTCCAGCTTTGTCCAAGATAACAAAACACAGAGTAGCATTTTGTAAGGATTTTAATGCAGTACAAGTTTGATATGTCATTTATCTTCAAGGCACGTTTAGGCAGTGCATAGTGATATTCACTCATGTCATTTCCCCTCATCCACGTAACTGCCCTTTATCTCGATTTTATAGTAGTTTCTGTCTGGTTTCCAGCTTTTGCCCTTGTCACTCCCTTACCTTTTCTTAACCCAGCTGCCAGGATAATCCTGGCAAAACAAGTTAGATCATGGCACTCCTCTGCTTAAAACTCTCCAGTGGCATCCATCTCACTCAAAGCCAAGGTCGTGGCAGTGGCCCACAAGGCCCTACTTGATCTGGCCCCACACCCTGGTCTCATCTTGTATCTCTGCCTGCTCACTTGAATAGCCTTGCTGGCTCTTCTGCCTTTCCACAAATGTGCCAGACTTGCTCCCTCCTCAGACAGGCCTTTGCACTTATTGCTCCCTGGCCTGGAATACTTGCCTTCTGTGTATGGCTTGCTCCCTTTCTTTCTTCAGCTCTCAAGTATCCTCTATATAGATGAGGCCTTCTCTCACCTCTCTATTTTAAATAACAATCCTTCCTGTGCTTTATTTTCTCCCTAAGACTTCTACCCGACTAACATGGTTGTGGTTTCCATATATATTCATTGTCTCCTCCCACCAAAATGTAAGCTCCATGGGGGTAGGCAGTTAGGTCTGCCTAGTTCAGCATCTATTCTTATTAGCATCAGCATTGTAAATATCTGTTGACTGAGTTAGTTTTCTTTATAACTGATGGCTTAATGAATGAACAGATACCAAGTAAAACCCATAGTTTTTTAATTAAACTTTTTATTTTGAAGTAATTTTAGATTCACATGTAGTTACAAGAAATGATATAGAAAGATCCCATGTAGCCTTCCCCCACTCCCCATTGTTAACAGCTTGCAGAGTATAGTACGATATCACAACTAGGATGTTGACGCATCTGCCATCTAGTTCACATTTTCTCAGTTTTATTTGTATTCATTTGTGTGTGTGTGTGTGTGTGTACATATTTAGTTCCATGCAATTTTATCTGGTGTATAGCTTTGTGTATCCACCACCACAGTGAAGATACAGAAGACTTCCGTCACCACAAGGATCCTTAGTGTTGACCTTCTATTATCATACGGACTTCCCTGTCCTACCCTTCCTGCCTCCCCATTCCTCATCCTTAACCCTAAACAGCCACTAATCTATCTCAGTTCTCTCCAGTTCTATCATGTTGTGATTTTAGGAATGGATTGACTCCATAATCCGCCCCTACACAGAGATAGTACATTTCTTTGGTAACACTGCCATCTAGTGCTGAGGAGCAAAGAATGCTCTCAAGCCTTAATAGTATTAAATTCCCTGTTTCATAATTCACTTATTAGAATTCCTTTGGGACTATTTTTCTAGTAGGTTTTGTTTTGTTTTGTTTTTATTCCTATGTAGGATCCTTAAAGAATAATATTATGTTATTAAATGGATTATGCATTGCTCTGTAGCCTAATAACTGTACCATTGAAAGTATAAAAGATATGATTTTAATAATTTGTTCAA